GACCATTTGGTTTCAAACCGAACGGTCGATCCGTTCTGACAAAAAAATTAAAAAAAAATGGTCAAAACTGTTCCAACGGTTTGAACGGTTAATCGCCCAGGTCAGTGATTTACTGACCAAAATCAACGATTTTTTAGAAAATTCTGGTTTTGGAAAARAATAGAACMGATCACATGACCGGTTCCTAATTTTTCCAGTCTAACCGTCCGGTCCAATCCGATTTTGAAAACCATGAAAGGAGATGTTAAAATTATGTATAAGTAGTAAGTCATTTTTTTTATCACAACAATGAGCCCGGGTCTCATCCCATGTATCTCTTACATGATGAGTTTAACCGGCTAACTTCAGATCAATATCAAAACAAGCATTTCATTTGGTTCTAGATAGAGTCCAAATATTAGACAAAAGAAACCTAGGCTAACATCTGACCGCATCTATTGGACCACATATATAAACACATATAAAACCCAAAAAATGGAACACATGAGTCCTTTTTCTTTTTGGTTTTCAATATGTACACACTACACGCATAAGAATGGATATGGTACTGAATGAATGGAATGGCAAAAACAGGATTTGATATGGTAGTGAATAGAAGGAATGGCAAAAACAGGTTTTCGTAAATACACACATAACAATGGATATGGCACTGAATAGAATAGAATGGCCAAAATAGGATTCACAACCTCATATATTTGGTATATAGATGGGACAAGGCTTAGATRGTGATTTTAAAATCAGGCATTTAATGGAACACATAACTAGGTCTTTTTTTTTTCTTTTTTGTAAATACACTCATATAAGTAGATCTTTCTTTTTTTTTTTTTTTTTGGTAAATACACATGGCAAAATGGGATCATATAGCCGACCCCATGTAGTTGGGACAAGGCTTAAATGATGATGATGATGATGATGTTAATGACGATAAATTCAAGCATTTAATGGGAAACATGAATGCCTTTTTTTTGGATAAATATACATGTATAATGAAATATATAAGTTTTTTTCATAAACTAGTGTAGGAGCATGCGTTATGCACGTGTGCAAAAAAAAAACATTAATAGTACATGATATATGGTATTTGGATTTAATTTTATGATCTGCACAAAAGCCAAGGCAAGTATCTTCTTTATGTAGTAATGAATAGACACATAACAATGGATATGGCACSGAACAKAATGGAATGGTGAAACAGGATTCATATAGCCAACCCCATGTAGTTGGGACAAGGCTTAGATGATAATGATGATGGTAGTGTGAGAATAAATTCTAGCATTTAATAGAACACATGAGCAGGTACTTTTTTATGGGTAAATTACAAACCAAATTTCTTATTCGGTCATTTCAATTAAAATCAAATTTCTTTCAGTTTTTTTGATTAATTGAATTTTCCAATCTGATCAAAGCCAAAATAACTGAACTGAAAAAACCAAAATCAAAATTTGCGGTTYGGTTTGTCAGTTTTAACCTAATAATTCTTACCTCTATTTCTAAGTTAAAGTCCCAAACTTCCTTATTATCATTTTATGAGACCATTCTATAAAAAAATGATTAAATGCAACAAAAAACAGAAAAGAAAGGAAAAGAAAAAATTAAACAAAAATACAATAAAAAGTGAAGAAAATAAGGAAATAAAATAAAATAGAAAAAAACAGAAAATATAAGAAAGAAATAAAGGAAAATATAGTAAACACTAAAAATTACAAAAAAAAATAAAAAATGAAAAAAAAAACACAAGAACTACAGAAAAAAAAAGCAAAAGTAAGCAAGTCAAAAAAAAAAAAACTTTGAATGAATCTATGTCACAAATGAAAATTGAGGGACTAAGTGTCACTACCCCAAAGTATAATGTGGCAATATATAATTACATTTTTTTAAATGCATGCATAACAATAGATATAACACTAAAGAGAATAGAAAAGCAAAATGGGTTTCATGTAACCAATCCCATATAATTAGGACAAGGCTTAGATGATGATGATGATAATGCATACATATAATGGAATACATGTAAAACACAGGATAGTTTTTATTGAAAATTACACGCATAATATATATAAATTAAATTGGTTGTTTCCTTTTTCTTTTTATCTTGCTTTGGTAATTACAGGCATACCTATATATATATATATATATAATTAAATTGTTAGTTCCTATATCCATTAAATTAATTGACTATAATGCACATCCAGTTGTTAAGCATTTCTGTGTAAGAGGAGAAATATCTGAAACAGACAGATTTAGCTAGATTGCCTAAAAGCTGAGGCCAGGCTCCCATTTAATGGGCTCAAAGAGCAATGATGAATTTTCAGGTTAGAATAGAATATATACATATAATATGACCCCAACCCAACATGGTCTGAGCAGTAGAGGCCAGGTATCTGACTTTATTCCTATACAAAATGGGCATATAAGACGCCATGCATGAGGATTTTGTCTAGTAGCTCTAAGCTCCACCATCAAAGCAAGCCATCTACATAGTGATCCTCTATTGCAACTGCCATGTGTAAGCCCACAATGTGCCTTTTTTGTGCTTATAAAAGGGGAGTCAGTTTGTAGAGTTGTCATAAGCTCTTTCAAACTCAGTTGCCTTAAGCTCTTCACCAGGCAAAGAGATTCAGCCCCCCCTCTGAAGAATGGCAATTACTAACAGTCATACCTTGGTTTTTGCCTTTGGCATTCTAGGTATATGTCAAACTCTTAGAATTAAGTTTTCTTTTAGGCTGTGTTTGGTTTTATGGCAAATAAGAGAAACAGAAAGTTGAGGGATATACTCAATTTTCATTTTCTGCTATATCTCTTAAGAGTTCATTCATTTCTTTAGCTCTAGACTCTAGCTATACCTCTCTAAGACTATTTTCATTTTCTGCTTTTGTGTTCTTCCTAGGTAATATTGTGTCATGTGCTGTGTACCTGGCCCCAGTGTAAGCTCTATCAGATACAAATAAATCCTGAATTCTTTAAAATGCAAGTTATTGTAGTATTAATTCATTAATACGCTGTTTTTTGATCTGGTTCTTCCATTGTATTTTAGGCCAACCTTTTACAGGATTTATAAGAAGAAATCAACAGAAGGGTTTCAGTCAATACCTTATGTGGTAGCACTATTTAGTGCCATGTTATGGATATACTATGCCTTACTAAAGACCAATGTGACGATGCTCATCACCATTAATGGCATAGGCTGCACCATAGAAACCATATACATAACTCTATACCTAGTATACGCTCCAAAGGGGACGAAGGTAGGTTACTCAGCCCTTCATCTCTATTCAGTTGATACGTAAACATGGATATATAAATATAGGAAAAGCTGCAAAAGAAGAAGAAGAAGAAGAAGAACGACAACAAATTAAGACAGTTTGAGTTGATGGGGTGTTCAAACAAATCAAGATTTCTTTAGCATCATCAAATTAAAGACTGTTTATCCTACTTTGATGGGTTTCAGTTTCTGTCTTTGAATTGTTCTCGAAAGATGAGATGTTTTGCTGCCTTGCCAGATCTTTACAGTGAAGCTGCTTCTGCTGTTGAACATGGGAGCATATGGACTGATCTTACTCTTGAGCTTCCTGTTCTTCAAGGGTTTCGGACGAGTTACAGTTGTTGGATGGGTCTGTGCTGGCTTCTCCGTCATTGTATTTGCCGCTCCTCTCAGCATCATGGTAATGTTTCATTAATTTGATAGCTATTTGGTTAATTTGGCTTCTGAATTAACACTGCAGCTTTAATTTTGCATTGGTTAATCATGGTGTTAATTTGTTGCAGAGGCGTGTGATCAGAACAAAGAGTGTAGAGTTCATGCCAATCTCATTGTCCTTCTTCCTCACTCTGTGTGCAGTCTTTTGGTTCTTCTATGGCATCTTGATGAAAGATCTGTACATTGCAGTAAGTCTAGCTAGTTGAGAGCTTACCAAATAAAAGCAGTTTGATTCATGCTTCAATATAAAATTTGTTCATCACCTGCTAATATAATTGTGCCGACTGTATTGAGCTGCAGATACCAAATGTACTGGGATTTGCACTGGGAGTCGCTCAAATGATCCTCTACATCATCTACAGAGACTCAAAGAAGCACTTGATAGTGGAACTGAAGCTGCCTGAGTTGGATCCCAGCATCATAAAGCCGTCCACCACAGAAGCACCAAAGACACAATCAACAATCAATCTACCAGCTGCTGAACCACAACACAACGAGACCAACCACCAGATTCCCAAAACGCCCATCGAACCGACTGAATCAAAAGTGTAAGAAAGAGCTTATAAAGAAAAGAACAGACCCACCTCCATGGACGATGAGCAAAGCAAGAGCTTTCTACATAAGCCAGCTCTAAAGCTGGAATTGGGTAGATGATAGTCTGATAGATAGAGGCGACAGCTAGAACCTTTCCTTAATTTCTTCTACTTTTTTTTCTGGGATTTTCTGTTTGTACTACGGCTGTACTAGGTCGTTGCTCCATCATCAATGCATAACGAAAGATATTTTTGACGTCTCATGGGCGATGATGCCTTCTGTTTCTGCTTTCTGCTGTGTTCAGCTCTCAAATAAAAACAAAACGAGAAAAAAGCTGAGTGGAATAACGGCTTAAAAGCTCTTTTTCTGATAAATTACCGTACCACTAACCATATTATCGAAAATCGATGCCGTATCATTGTGCATGAAGGAGTCAGAGATTCTCAGAGTTTTTGCTTATTCGGAGTTGCGTGAGAGAAAGTGCTTTTCTAGTTTTCTGTCTTTTAATTTTCCTGCCGGTTCTGGGCTGTCTGTGCAATTAATACAGGTGAGCATGGACCGGTTCGATTGATATTTTTTTCTTGAGAAGCTTCGATTGAACCGGAATCGGAATCAATCCTATGAAGTCCGGTTTTAGGGTCTATTCATGGAGTCCTGATCCTGCTGATCACAATATATTTTTGGGGAATGGGATCATCTCCTTACACTTGGGCGCCTTACGTGTACATTCACCATGCATTAGGAACATCTCCCGTGAAAAATAATTTACAGGTATGAAAAATGTTCCCAATGCATAGTAGAATGTGTGTATGAGGTGCCCTATGTGAAGAGTAAATCCGGTCCCATTGTTGGCCATGGTCACCCAATCACACATATGGAATATCGTTGTATATATTGTGGTTATCAATACTCTCAATGCATGGTTGGATGAACGCGGCTATCAATGTATTGTGGTCAGCATATTCTAACTCTTATCCATGAAGTACTCTAATCCTTAAAAAATAAAACATCTTCTTTAAAAACTTTTTAATAAATATAGGTTATCTTTATTGATTAAATTGATTAATTTAATATATAGGCTATTATAATATATTAATATATGATTCAAAATTTATCATTATAACTTAAATTTTGTAAATATTATCTCTTTACATTATTTATTATACACATTTAAATATTAAAATGAAAATAAATGATCAAATCACTTAAATAATTCAATAATAATTTTTATAAGGCCTCAAAAATTTGTGGGATTTATTTCAATGCAAAATTGATTTTAAAACAAATTCCACCAAAATTAATTTATCGAATCAATTTAGATAAATACCTTAAAATCGGTCTAAAATTTAAATAGAATTAATTGCAATAATTTAGAACTAAACCCTATCCCACAACAAATTAGATAAAATCGGTTCCATTCGATTCAGGATCCATTTGCTCACTCCTAGCAATTAATAATCACCATCTCTGGTTCATGAACGGAGCTGAGCTTGGCCTTTGGTCCACCTCCAACAGTAAATGATCACTTATCAGCATCTGCTGCACTTGTTTGACCTGAATTTATCCGTTTGTAACAGGTGTTCATTGCACTTGAGTTTGTCAGGATCTTGCATCAACATTTATACACGTGTAATAGAATACCTGTAACAGAGTCAATGCACAAGTGCACACTAAAGTCCACCCGCAAACAAGTGCAGCAGATCAGGATTCAGAACCTAAAAAAGGTGCTTGCCATTGCAGGACACATAATCAGATGGGTCCCTCTTAACTTGCCACCTGTTACATGTTCAAGCTTTGGAACAACAGGAGGATGGGTGACATTGATGCCCTCAGTGGGGGTGAGCTTTTCCAGTCGGATCCAGTTTGCAAATTTTCAGGTCTTAGGTTTTGTGTTCAAGCCTGGCCCAAATCCTATCAGGTCCAAACCTTGCCTGGGCCCAATATTTGTAACAGAAAGTTGGGCCTGGGCCACGTTATAACCCTTACAATAGGAGCTAAACATAACCTGGCCAACCCAATATAACCCCTCCCTCAGCCAATTGAATTCAGAATTAGCTGAACACAACGACTGTGTAGCCAACGGGAGGACCAATGACAACGCCCTATGTCAGCCATAAATGATAAGTGAGAGAATGAGTGGTTGTGGGTCATATGTATTTAATGACTGGTGTGAGATGTTATTATTGGCTCCACAGCCTGCTACATAGCATTTGCCTTCAGCTAATTCAATCTCTGGGTAATTAATAAAAGGGGTTTTAACTGTTCGGTCCATATTTTAGAAATCTTAGCTTCACCCTACAAGCAGAATGAATCCTGACCATGGATTGATGCTAAATCCATGGATATGCAATTTATAAGGGGGTTAGTAATAGACTAAGAGGTGATTGTAATTTCAGATTTATGAGGGGGAATAAAGTTTACTTATCCTTTTATAAAATCACAAAACAAGTCGAGGGGAAAGAATTAACTGAAATTGATAGCTGTTTCATGGGCTGCAGGACTAATCATTTTGCTCCACACTGGCCAAAAATACAACAGAGAGATTGATTGAATGTGGGTCATATGCGCTTTGTGGTTGGCATGAAGCAATATTATCAGTCCCACAGGTAGTTCAAGTTCAGCTAATCTGCTCTTTGCGAGATTTTATTAATGGTGACTGGATCCATCAATAATTTATTCCATCCCACTGGTTTTCGTAGCAACTGTGATTTGGGATCCCCTATTGGAACAGGCTGTACCGAAGTTATTCTATTACGCTAAAAAATTCCTCCTCATTCTTGTTCTTCCTTGAGGGTAGTTGAGGCTGCTGCTGTTAACTTCAAATTTTCTTAAACTCTGAATTTTTTTGATTCTCTAATATTCTCTTTCTCTTTTGTCGATTTAGTGTTGGAATGAAGAACCTAAACCAGAAAATGAGTAAAATCAAAGAGAGAGAGAGAGAGAGTATCAATGTTTGAGATCACTCAACAAGAATAGAAGAGATTGAGAACGTCGCTGTCTCAGCATTTATAAATGTGATGTTGCAAAATATGGAGATGAGGGTAACAAAGTAATTTTCAGCGATCGAGGCCGATGGGTCCAACCTGCTGAGAGAAAGATGTTAGAGGCCCTAGAGTTATCCTAAGGGCAGAGACTCCGACGRTCAAGTTAGCCGAGAGCTGTAAGGGGTCGGACCAAGCAAGCGATGAGACTTAGAGCTTAAGTTCTAGTATGTGTTTACCACAATGTGGGAGCCCTTTTTTATAGTCGGAGTTGCCTGAGAAGAGGAATAGTTGGGAGTAGGTGGCGGCGGTTGGCCGGTCGGGATGCGTCCGACTGATGCCACGTGTCAAGATTTGCGGGCGGCCGAATACCACCATATCAAAATGCAAAATCAAGATTTTAAAAGGCTATAAAGGTGGAGGCGAGACATATGTTTCAAGGTAGTTTTGACATACATACATACATACATACATACATACATACATACATACATACATACATACATACATACATACATACATACATACATACATACATACATA